GGCAGCTCAGGCAGCTGTGAGAAGCGTCGGTCGTAGATGCAGAGGTGCAGGTGTTTGTCCAGGACACGAAAATCCTCATAGCTGCGCTTCACAATCCAACTTCGACCCTTCAGAACAGCAATGCAAGCGTAACCGCCAAAAAGAAGGAGAGAGAACACAAACAGTTGACTGAAGGGATACATATTTCTATTAAACTGGGCTAAGGTTAAATTCAAATGATAAAAAGCAGAGCTTAGCTGTCAGATACAACATAAGCTTGAGAGTAGGAAACATTTTACATGCAATTTGCAACAAATGATAAAGAGTTCTTATATATGTAGCACTTCATTGTTTGTCTTGTTAGAGTTTAAAAGGCCAAGTCTGTACGCTGTTTTACAAACGTTCCTCATAAACAAACTGATAAAACATGGCAACAAATTATCTGTGCCTCTAAATCAATGGAAGAGTATCTAAGATTTAAAAAAATGTTTTAAAAAATCTAAAAAGTCGCCCACAGATTTGTCTACTTTGTATTAAAAAGTATTCACTGATCATCGACACCTTATCCAGCCCTCGCTTGTAGAATAAACAATAGAATAATTTTGATTTCAAACCACTAAATTAAATCTAACTTAAATAACAGTTGCTCCGTCTATTGGCTATTTCTGTTTTAAACAACAAGAAACCTCAAAACCCTCTCAGAGAAACTAGTGTTCAAAAGAAGTCTTCTGCTTTGATCTGGCCTAGAAAAACGGTCTTTAAGGCAAAGACTTGCACGAGTGGGACTGCAGTGCAACACTCAGCCCACTGATTCCAGTGCTGTTTTAAAGTGCTGGCTGGGAGAGATGCCACTGGGAGAGCTCTGTTGGCTTGGGGAACTCTATGCTTCCCTGTCCCACTTACAGATGCATTTCCAAGTTAACCCTCCGATCGACTTTAAGTAGTTACAATTTCCAAGTGCCCCGCCACATACTTGTGTGCCATTGCTACGGTGCTGCAAATGGAAGATAATCTGTACATTTGAATGCATGAAACTGGAATAAAAATGTGTCACAAGGTAAAGCTTGTGAGCATCTGGTTTGCATGTCTGTTTGTTTGCTGTACTTCATGTATCTGGTTGAATCCAGTTGTGTAAAGATTTGTACATTTTCAATTAATTTGAAATAAAATCAGTGCTTTTCTTAAATTTAGCCAATTAGATTTGCAATTTAGATTTTTCAGTCAAAGTAAAAAAATAAAAAATACTCCATAAAACACGCAACAACCTGCTTCTAGTTCTTTCTGAAAATGAGTCGAAGGGTTTGAACTGTGTAGCCTTCCTTCCCACATTCTTCAAATCACTCTCCCAGCTGTGGCGTTCATCCACAGCTCTTTTCATTTCCTACATAACTTTGATTTCTTTCAGATAACAGCGTAGGCATTTCAGAAATGACCTGTTGAGAGGGAGAAGTCTGCTGATATCTCAACAGGTGCTATTCAACATTTGAGGTGTATGTGTTCGGCTAAACAGGAGCTATGTGGTTTGTGCATCGTTATACAAATTATAAGACACACTTAAAAAGTTGAGTGACTGCAGTACAAAGAATGAATGAATGAATGAATGAATGAATAAATAAATAAATAAGTTCAGGTTTATATGAAGCTAATATCTCCATCAAGCTAGTCCCATTGTGTGCCAGTACACAGTGCCTCAAAGCACAGACCAGACCAACAATAGTTGCTCAGCACCCAACTTGCCAAATATCATCTGATTCTCAAAAATTTGATTGAAAAGTTGCCATTTTGACATAGTGGAGAAGACTTGGCACACATTACTGAAGTTTATCTAAAAAAAATAATTGAATGGGAACTTTAGAAGTTG